AACTAAGACTGGGATGGAGAGAACATAATATTTAATGATTATATGCTCTGACAATACACAGAGCTACTATAAAGAAAAACTGGGAAGAATGTGAGTAACACATGAAAAAATACCTTTTAGAACTGTTTTCAATAACCAAAATCAGTGGTGGTTGTATCAGTATTGTTATTCCTTGACAATGTGTATGTGTCATGTGGAATTAAAGTAAATGAGCAATTAACGGGCATAGTAATTCTATCAGATCAGATTTTCAGTAAGAAAAAAGGAAATACAGGTATAAACCAGAAGAAATTAAGAACCTAAAGATAAAAACTGATCTTGAATTTGAGTTGAAAGTATCAGTATGAACTTACAAGGTATTTTTACTTTAGTACATCTATTTTCCTAGCTCTGTCCACTGAGAAGGCTTAAAAATAATGACAAACTAAGAAGCAACGAACATCTCTAGTGCTAGACTGGGGTCTTGCAATACTATTACATTTCAAAGTCTGTCTGCCAAATAAGCATTACTGAATAAGATAAAAAGCTCTTCAAATGAAAAATGGGTTAATTTTCTCACATAATTGCTTAAAAATATGTATATCTGAAGAAAGATCACTGTTAAGGATGTACCATTTCAGGTCAAAGTAAAAGGGGTTTCTCATAGATTGATTCAATAATCCAAGAGGTCCATGAGAAAGCAGGTCATATAGTGGAAAGAACATCGAATCAGGAGCCAGGAACTGAGCTTTCAGTTCTGGCTTCAACAGAAAGAGGCTGTACTCTGCCGGGTAAGTTACTTTACAGTTTCCTTAACTCCAAATGAAGAAGACTGAGAAGAAGCACTCTAATGACCAGTATTATGACTCCATGATTCAAGAGTGATTTGTATAGCTGTTGACATAAAAGGAATAATATGGAAATTACATTTGGGAAGGGCATCTCAAGCACAGTTAAGTGCTTTAGGTAATTCGAAGGTTGAGAACTAGAGGGCAAAAGAGACACTAAGTAGTCATGCTTAAGCTAAATGAAGGAGATGGATCTCCCCCTCTTTTTAGAAGCTCACGATAGGACAGAAATGGACAAATGCATATATAAAAATTAGTAAAGGGAAAAATACTCATGTTCACAGTAGTAAATTCATGTAAGGAATATATGTGACTGTTGGACAAAAAATGCTCTTGCTACTGTTTTATAAAGCACAGAATCATGAGTACCAACTTGGGAAAAGAAAAAAATAAAGGGCTTCAAGCCAAGGCCAACCTTCAATAAAACACTTAGGCAAATAAAACAATCTTCCAAAGTCATTACTGACCACACCTTCCACAAATACTGCCACAGGATCTCAACACTTGTATGTTGAGGTGGCACCTGGAATCTAGTAAGTATTATTGTCTCACAGTCTTCACTGCTTGCTATAAATAATTATTTTGAAAATACCCACTTGGCAGGAGCATAATGCCAGGAGCCACAAAAATATAAAAAGAAATATAAGGCATGTCCCTAAGCACAGAGAACTTAGTACAAAGGCATGGAAAAATAAAGGAAATTGGGGCGCCTGGGTGGCCCAGTCGTTGGGCATCTGCCTTCGGCTCAGGTCATGATCCTAGGGTCCTGGGATCGAGCCCCACATCGGACTCCCTGCTCCACGGGAAGCCTGCTTCTCCCTCTCTCACTCCCCCTGCTTGTGTTCCCTCTCTCGCTCTCTCTCTGTCAAATAAATAAATAAAAATCTTTAAAAAATAAATAAATAAAAATTTAAAAAAAAAGGAAATAACTAAAGACAGTGCATGCCTGGGTGCACATCTGTTTGCTTTGGAATTTAAATCATATATTTTTCCACAGAAACAACACAGAAAATGATGAAATCTCCAAGCCACTCCTCTAATTTATTTAATGCGTACTTGGTTGAGCTGCAGTAGTTTTCCTTAATTTTCAATGTGATTCTCAATCAGTTTGAGGAGCTAAGAGGAAATGGTGCTATATAGCAGGGGAAAATCATATCCAATATTATGACATAATTTTACAATTACAAAATGTAAAGCTAATTTTCATGACACAAAAAACTATTTTCATTAACAAATTTAAAAGTAAATGGTAGCTAATAATTTATATACACAGCACTGTGCACTAAGTAGTTTCAATAGCTTTACATATAAAAACTTAATCTCATTACTTTTTTTATTATTAAAACAAACCCAACAAGGAGGTACTATCAATATCCCCAGTTTTAAGATGAATAAACTACAACATAAGGGAGATTAATTTGACTAGTCACAGAGCTCCATAAAGCCTCTTGGTTGGAAGAGATACACAAAAGATAATCTATGTTCTCAGTAACCTCATCACCCAACATTCTTCACTGGGGCTGAAAATAGAGCTGGGGCCATGAGAGCACTCATACTTACATATAGTTCTATAAGCACTCTTTTTCGAGCAGTACATAAACTAAAATAAAATGATTCAGAGTGGTATGGCCCAAAGAATCCCACGTTTATACCACAGCTATGTTCACACAAGGACACAAGGATATATGTACATGAATGTACAGCAGTGTCTGTGATGGTTAATAACTGAATACAATCTGATGTCCGATAGGGGACATGCTAAATACATATTTATATTTCTACAGGGAATGCTGTATAGGTTTTTAAAAGAATGAGGTAGTTTAGGGATGCCTGGGTGGCTCAGTCAGGTAAGCGTCTGCCTTCGGCTCAGGTCATGATCCCAGGGTCCCGGGATGGAGTCCCGAACTGGGCTCCCTGCTCAACAGGGAGTCTGCTTCTCCCCCTGCCTGCTCCCCCTGCTTGTGCACTCACTCTCTCTCTCTGACAAATAAATAAATAAAATCTTTTAGAAAAAAATAAAAGGGATGCTATTTGAAAAAAAAAAAGAATGGGGTAGTTTAATACTTATGGACAGAGAAAAATATCTTAATATAGTATCAAGTGGCAAAAGAAAGGTGGAGAACAGTATGTGTATCATGATTCCACTTGTGGGAGAGAAAAAGGAGGAGGATATATATATATGATACTCTGATCATACAAGCATCATATATATGATCAGAAAGTTTCTTAAGAAAACAAGAAATTATCTACAGTGCTTTACTTCTGCGAAGTGGGGAATAGGGAAAAAGGCCAGTAGCTAGAGGACAAAGAGATTTTTGTTGTTATATTATATCCTTTTTTACTGAATTTCATTTTACCAAAAATACATATTGCTATTTTTACATGGCTTGATTAAAAATATAGTATTATTGAGCCTAGCCTCCTTTTACGTAGAGGTTCCTAACAACAGACTGGTATGTAATGATCAGTGATGAGATGCGTTCCAAGAGATTCATTCCTAATATTTTTTAACCAAGAGAAGTTTATGAATGATTTATTATTTTTATAAATAAGTAAAATCAATATCCCTTTAATTAATCCATTAATGCAAAGGGGGAAAAAGGAGGGGGGCCTTTAAGAGTCAAACAGAAGGGGAAAACAAATTACCTCCTAAAGATGGTTTTTAGGAGGTTCTATTCCAGAAGAATGGGGGTCCTCAAAAAAAAGGTTCCCCCATCCAGCCTGAAGGTCCTTAGAAATGTAAACAGCCTTCTTGTAAAATAAGTAAACAAGTTATGTAGTTCCCAAATTGGGTCGGGGGTGTCATAGAGAGTAGGCAAGAACTTATTTTTCACCCTTTTAAATATGTTTTTGTATATGTTTACTGTGCTATGCACACCGTTATACATAATCAAATATAACATATTTGGAATATGCTTGCTCAAAAATGTTTTACTGATAGGGTGTGCAAAAATGTTTGGGAACTACTGATATGGTTAAACAAATGTAATGCAGTGAAGAGGAAAGCATTAGATGTTCATTCCATGGTCAAGGGCTGAAAACTAAAAGCTGTGAAACGATCAGTGTCTAATGTTTGCAACTTTTTAGTTCTCTTCAACTTTTTCCTATATCTATTCCATGACCAAATCCTGCCATTTCCAGCTTAACATTTACTGGGTTTGACTATTCATAGTCATTCTGACCATACAAATTTAATTACTTCATGTTTCTGGAAAGGCCTAGGAGCCTTTCTGTAAAAAGTACTCCACTGCCATCTTGAAAAGAACTGTAAGATTCTTTAAAAGCTAGGAAAGCTTCCAACTATCGCCAAAGGTGAAAGTACTTATCCAGTGACTTTAAATATCTCTGTCCCACACTTAAACCGTCCTTTCCCCCATAGACCAACTGGAACTCTTTAAATAAGTCAGACAATTATATTCCTCATTTGTCAAGGGACTCACCCTCCCCTTCCCCCCTACACAGCACTCCCGTTAAGCACATAAATACCCTGCACATCACCAAATCAAGTTCTTTTTCCTCCAGAACTTTCTTCAGGGTTCCCTTTCCTCTAACTGCCTGCCCACCTCTGATTCCTGGGATTTAAGAGCTGATGGCATCGCCAAAATCATTCCTCTCTCCCAGTCTCACCAGGAATTCATTAGCAGGATCGTCTGACAGGCCCCCTTTTTGTGTTATAACTCCACTGTTTCTGTGATCTCCGCCTTCAGGAACATTGATTGCTTTGGGTCCCGCCTCCCTTTCCGGGCACTAAGTTTGTTTAGGGCCTGAGCGCAGGGGCCAGGCAGGTTCTCTTCGACGTCAGCTACTGCGTACCTATAGGGCGGCCTAAGCAGGCCGCTCAGGGAACAAGGCCGAGCAGACAGGACTGACGGGAGAGCATTCTCCGTCGCTCCCCGAGAAGAAAGGTCCTGGGCAGGAGGCAGACCGCGCATACGTGCCCCGAGGCCGCGAAGGCAGACCCGAAGCCCCTTGACGGGGCCAGCTTGCTTGTGAGCAACTACAACCAGGCCTGGTAGGTGAAGGGAGGCGTGTGTAGGGCCGAATCCCGGACTGAATCAGGAAGAGGAGGGCCAGGGATGGGACCCGAGTGTGGCCGCTTCGGCAACCCCTGCGCAGGGGGGGACCGTGAAAAGACTCAAGGAAGGGAGGAGTTGGGGAGTATCCCTCACTCACCTGGAAGAGGCTGAGGCCGGAGGCACCAGCTGCCCCCTTCCAAATTTAAGCCACGTCAGCTCGGGAATCCCGTCCGCGACACCTACCACCGCCGCGCCCGGTCAAGGGACTCAACCACTCGCTGTTGGGACGGAAGATGGAATTAGGACATGAACCAATCCGGGCTATCGGCAGAGCGTCACCAGGGAGACCAGGCACGCCTTGTTTGTAACTAACCCATCAACGATGACGGAAACCAATCAACGCCAGGAAATTCTCTGCTTCCTCAAAGAAAGAGCCAATGGTCTCTTAACAGTGGAGGAGGGGCGGAGTCAGACGTGAGCAAGTGTTCCGGAAGAAGATCTGCGGAAGGACCGGAAATGCCGGGAGGGTGGGCCTTCTGCGGTGGGTCAGGTGTTAGTGTGAAGTAGGTGGGCCGCTGGGTTCCAGGTCGTCTGCGGTGCTGATGGTGACTGACCCAGACTACGGCTTGGGCTTTTGCGGAGCCCCGTACTGCGAGTACCAGGTGTCAAAGGATTGTTGAATGAGCTGTGAGAAGGGAGTGGGGATATGGGTTTTGCTCTTATAATCGTAAAATATTAAGAGCCCGAAAGTAGGTCGTCTAATATGATTTTTTCATTTTACTGATAAAAAATGAGAACCGGATTAAAGTGAGTCACCCAAAGACAGCGACTTAATGATTAGAACTCGGACTAGAACCTGGCGGCTTTATGAAAGAGAATCTGAGATGTCTCTAAGGACATGAGTGGGAGAATAGTGAATACTACTAGAAAAGTGCCTCTGTGGAAGTGGCGTTTGAGCTGGGACTTAAGCAAAAGGTGAGATTTGAGGGCCCAGGTCTGGAATGGGAGACAGAAGCTCCAGTAATAGCCACCGAAATCATGTATGCTCTCCTTAAGGCCAAAGGAAAGGGGGGAAAGCCAGCTCCCTTGACTTAAGGCCCTCTTGACAATAAGACTTTTAATTTATTGCTAGCCCACTATATGTATCCTCACCCTAATGCTTACATAACTCTTTGAGATTCAAACATCAGCTCACTAAGGCCTTCGCTGGCTACTCACCTTTCATAGCAGTCCCCTGCATGTACAATACCCTATCTCTGCTTATGTTTTCCCTAACTACTTTGCCATCTTTACTTCATTTATCTTTATTTTCTCTCTCCTCACTAAATTATTACTTCCAAAAGACAGGAATTTTTGCTTCTTGATCTCAGCTATATCTCCAGATCCAAGAACAGTATGCAGGAGAGCACTCAGTATCTTTTGAATCTGTGAAGTACATATGATTATCACCATCTTACATTGGACACAGTATTCAAGACAATAAGGCTGAAAAGATTAAGTAATTCGCATAAATTCACATAATGAGGGGCAGAGCCAGGATTTGAAGTTACTATCAAATGCCAAAGCTGCAGTACTTTGTCAGTACATTATATTCTCATATCCCTGATTGTACCCACTCAGCAAAGCCTGGATCAGTGCAACCACCAGTCTTGGCTCCTACCTTTGGAGTGCAGAATGCTGCAGGAGAGAATTTGACGTCAGGGAGATGGTTACTTCTACGCATTCAGTTTCCATTCTTCACTCCATCCTCAGCACATTCCCAAATCTTTGGTGTTTATTCAGCTTCCTCTTCCATTTCCCACAACAGTGATTCAAACCTTTTAACACCCTCTTACCATTCCCAGCAGATGAATTTACTTTTATCTCAGAGAAAATAGAAACCATCTGACTGGAGTCCTACTGAGTTACGCCTTTACACAAACATTGTCTTTCTCCATACTTCCTTGTTTCACATTCAGCCTTAGAACAGAGCAGATCTAGCAGTTTTAACATAATGAAATTTTCTTATGGGAAAAAAGATTAGAAAATTGTCTATATAGTGGGACGCCTGGGTGGCTCAAGCGGCTGCCTTCGGCCCGGGTCATGATCCCAGAGTCCTTGGATCGAGTCCCACATCAGGCTCCTTGCTCAGGAGGGAGCCTGCTTCTCCCTCTCTCTCCTCTGCTTGTGTTCTCTCTGTCAAATAAATAAAGTCTTTAAAAAAAAATGTCTGTATAGTAAGTAGGTCTTCTTAAGGCCCTGCCTTTCATTCTTGGGTCAGCACAGACTGGTCATTCAGTGAGAATTACAGTGAACACTAGGCAATTGAAGGAATAATAGTACTGGGTGGAGGTTAAAGAGCTGAACTGAGTTTTTTTTCGAAGGGTACTGAAAGATTGGAAATTATTTAGAATGCAATTTAATGAAAGGAGTTTAGGCCCTGAGAGAGTGATTAAGATAATAAAAGATAACTAGGAGCTGACCCATCAGATAAGAGGAAAAGAACAGTGGAGGCAAATGGAGCAGCATGTGCATGGACTGTTTGAGGAAAGACATGAGTAATATGAACAGGTAGACAAGGAGTAGGTCATGAAGTGGTGTGTGCTATTTTATGGTAAGGGGTTTGGATATTATTCTGAACTCTAGAGCAGTTAGGGACTGCAGAAATCACAGAAGGGACAAAGTTAGTTGTCCCTTACAGAGTGACCATTCCTCAATTAAGAGTTCAGTGAGAACAGTTTGGGGGACAGGAAATGTCACATCCTCTCTGATTTACTATTGCCCAGTTCCCTCTTGGTCTTCTTTTTTCCAGTTCTTTCCTCCTCATTCTTACCTTCCCTTATGCCAAATACAAATTTATGCCAAAAGTTTCATAGAGTCTTGTTTATTAATGTATTCTCCATACCTAAGGTAATATCTTCAACAGAGTACATGTTCAGTAAATAATTGTTAAATGAATAAATGTTTAAATTCCTAAGAATCTGATATATAACTGCCAATCTTAAAATCTGAAAGAAAGAAGAATTTCTTGAGAAATATAGGATAAATAAATATATAAACAAAAAATATAAAATTGGGGTGCCTGGGTGGCTTAGTCAGTTAAGAGTCTGCCTTTGGGGCTTCTCGGTGGCTCAGTCGTTAAGTGTCTGCCTTTGGCTCAAGTCATGATCTCAGGGTCCTGGGATCAAGCCCTGCATCAGGCTCCCTGCTCAGTGGGAAGTCTATTTCTCCCTCTCGCTCATCCTCTCTCAGATAAATAAATTTTAAAAAATCCTCTCTGGGGGACAATAATTTGAAAAATACATATAAAATCACACAATTACGCCAATCAAGAAAAAATTTGACGCAATTCAAGAGCCATTCATACAAAAAAAACGTCAGAAAACTAGGAATAGAGGGAACTGCTTCAATCTGATAAAGAACATCTACAAAAATCCCACAGCTAACATCATTCTTACTGGTAAAAAAAAAAAAGAAATTCTTTCCCTAATATTAGGAACATGGCAAGGGTGTCCTCTTTCACCACTCCTGTTCAACATTTTACTGGAATTCCTATCTAATGTAAAACAAGATATACAGATTGGGAAGAAATAAAATTCTTTGTAGAACATGAGTATATATGTAGAAAAATCCCTAATTAACTAAAAAATAAAAAGCAACAACAAAACCCACACCTGGAATTAATAAGCAATTATAGTAAGGTTGCAGGATAAAAGGTTAATGTACAAAAATCAATTGCTTTTCGATATACTAACAATGAACAATTGGAATTTGAAATTAAAAACAATGCTATTTATATTAGCACTGAAAGCAAGACATGCATAAATCTAACAAAACATACAGAATCTATATGAGAGAAACTATAAAACTGATGAAAGACATAAAGCATCTAAATAAATAGAAATATTTCATGTTCATGGATAAGAACAGTAAGATTGGTCATAGATTCAACATGATCCAAACTGAAATCCCAGCAAGTTATTTTGTGAATATCAAAAAAACTAATTCTACAGTTTATATGGGAAGAAAAATCTGGAATAACCAACAGAATACAGAATAAAGGAGAAAAAGTTGGAGGAGACATGGCGGGGAGAAGGAGGAGGAAAAAGTTGGGGGACTGGCACTAGCTGACTTCAAGACTTACTATAAAGCTATAGTAATCAAGACAGTGTGGTAATGGAGAAAGAATAGATCAACAGAACAGAATAGAGAGCCCCAAAATAGACCTACACAAATATAGCCAACTGAGCTTTGATGAAGGAGCAAAGGCAATTCAGTGGAGAAATGTCTTTTCAATAAATGGTACTGGAACCAGTACCCAGATGCAAAATGAATAGGACTTATACCTTTCACAAAAATAAACTCAAATGGATTACAGACCTAAATGTAAACTGCAAAGCTATAAAAATTTTAGAATATAAGAGAAAATCTAGATGACTTTGGATTTGGCAATGACTTTTTAAATACAACACCAAAAGCATGGTTCATGGGAGGCTGTGTATGTGTGTGTGTGTGTGAGGAGGTGATCTGATAAGTTGGACTTGATTAAAATGAAAATCTTCTGAAAGGCTCTGCTAAGAGAACGAAAAGACAAACCACAGATTGGGAGAAAATAACTTGCAGAACACCTATCTGGTAAAGGACTAGTGTCCAAAATATACAAAGAACTCCTAAAACTCAACAATAAGAAAACAATCCAATTAAAAAGTAAGCAAAAGATCTCAACAGCCACCTCACCAAAGAAGATATATAGATGGAAAATAAGCATATAAAAAGATGGTGAACATCCTATGTCACTAGGGAATTGCAAATTAAAATAACAATGAGATACCACCACATACTTACTAGAAACACAAAAATTCAAAACACTGGCAACATCAAATGCTGGCAAGGATATGGAGCAGCAGGAACTCTCATTTACTGCTGGTGGGAATGCAAAATGGTACTGCCACTTTGGAAAACGATTTGGCAGTTTCTTATAAAGCTAAACATAGTATCCATACTATCCATACCATACTATCCAGCAAACATGCTTCTAAGTATTTACTCTTATCAGTGAAAACTTACATCTACACAAAAACTTTCACATAAATGTTTATAGAAGCTTTATTTATAATTTCCCAAACCTAGAAATAACCAAGATGTCCTTCAGTAGGTGAGTGGATAAACTGTGGTACCTACATACAATGGAATATCATTCAGCGATAAAAAAAAAAAAAGGATTGAGCTATTAAGCCACAAAAAGACATGAGGAAACTTAAATGTGTATTTCTAAGTGAAAGAAGCCAGTCTAAAAAGGCTATATACTGTATGATCCAACAATACAACAATCTTAAAAAGGCAAAACTAGAGATAGTTAAAAGATCAATGGATGGCAGGGGTTTGGAGGGGCAGGAAGGAATTAATGCGTAGAGCACAGGGGGATATTTTAAGACAGTGAAACTATTCTGTATGATACATAATGGTGGATACATGACATTCCTTTGTCAAAATTG